GAGTGAAGATTTAGTCGCATATGCGATTGATTTACTCGCAATGTAGAGGGTTGCGTTAAAATTTACTTTATTATTTTTTTTAAGTATATTTCAGTTCAAATTGGACTGGAATGACATAAAATTGCAATATTTACCATAAATATTTTGAAGCATGCAAAATGCCAGGCAAAAAAATGTATTAGTTCTCACTCATAAGCATATCTCAGGTCATTTTAATGTAGTCTGCATATCAAAAGTCTTAGTAAAGTATATAATATCAGCCTTGTTATGTGCAATGAGTTTGGTGATATAATATCAAGAAAAGCAATTATTGCCAGTGTAAGCTGTTAGTTTGACAAGTTAAAATTTCCTAGAGATTTCTCTTAGTGTTCATTTAGCAAAGACTTTGCACAAAAAATCTATTTATTTTTTTTAACAGTATTTTCATTCTTGCATTGAACATTTTCAATCAGTTTTGGAATAATGGCTGTGTGGCCCAAACGATGAGTCCAAAAAAAACTTTTTAAGCCATTTCAGAGCAAATACATAAACGGAGACTTAAAAAATAAAGTTAAAAATATTAAAGTAAATATTTAAGGTCAAATGGCTCAGCTGACAAAAAACATTAAGGAATCCCTGGACTATAAACAACAATATTTACTATTGTGAAAACATGACAAAAAAACATGAATTATTACTAGTTCTCATTCATGAGCGTATCTCGGGTTATTTTAATTTAATATGCATGTATAGTACATAATATCAGTCTTGTTATATAGTAATGGCAGTATTTTGAAAATGTACAATAAGTGATATAAAATCCAGAAATGCAGAACGTTGATATAAGCTGTGAAGTTGACAAGTTTTATTTGTCCTACTTGTGGGTAGGACAAATAAGGGGGGACAATAAAGTTTTTACAATACAATACAAAAAGTTGAAATTTCCTATAGAATTCTCTTAGTATTCATTTAGCAAAACCCTTTTGCTTTTTTCCAGTAGCCTATTGTGTTTCTTGCATTGAACATTTTCAATCAGCTGTTTGGCCTCAATGATGAGTCAAAAGGAAAACATTTAAAGTCCTTTCAGAGCAAGTTCATGAAGAGATACGCTGAATGTTGTCGCTGTAGCAGGAAGATGATTCTTCTTTCCTACTCATGAAAACTCTTTGCATTTCTCTGTATTTTTAACTCAAGTTCTGCTGTTATATATATCTCACTTATTCTCAGTTTCAGGTACTCAGTAAATGAAACTGTGGCCGGTGACACACGCAAACAGCCTCCTGAGCAAATCCTACTTCTCGCTGCATCTTTGTCTCATAAAACACAATATACTCCCACTCAAATCAACACAGAATGTCAAACAATCGACTAATAAATTACAAAGCGAAAACACTGGGCAGGACATTTCACTCGCTATTCAAAGTCACACAAAAAAGGCTAAAAGAAAGCATGTGGTTTTAGTCTTTGATGAGCAGATCCAGTCATAACACTCATATTCTCTCAATCAGCGCGCTGGGAGTGCCATGCTGAAACCATACGCTTCTCCACATGGCATCTACTGAGTTATGAAGAACTTTTGTGCTTTGTGTGGAGGATTGTGCCGTTTGGACAAAGACACCAACCGTCTCTCTTAGAAGAGAGCGTCTCTGGACCGGATCTGATTTCAAACACTAGATTAAAAGAGACAGTTCACCCAAAAATCAGAGCGAATAAAAGACAACACAACTTTCATCAGAAAAACACAAAAGAAGATATTCTGAAAAACGTTGGGAGTCCAAACAACATTGGACACCATTGACTTTCACTGACAAGAATAGGAAAAACAATAATTTTATTATTTCCCAAATTCAGGTTTTTCACATTTTAATTTGTCCAACTTTTTTAATTTAATGGTTTAATTCAATTTTAGTCATCAAAAAGCATGTCTAATTAATTGAAATCATAAAATGTATACAGTTTAAGAACCATTAAAAGTTCCAAAAGAATGACATTTTTAGGGTCCTATGAAATCAAGTTTTATTTTTTTCCCCAAATTTCATTTTATTTTTCCGAAATGTAGTTTTTTTTTTTTTTTTTTTACCATTTTAATTTTTCTGGATTCCGTTTTAATGGTTTAATAAATTTTAATAATCAAAAAGCGCGTTTAATCACTTCATAAAATTTTAACAATGTAATAATTTATTATTATTTTTAACAATATAGACCCTAGGAAATGTTTTATTTTTCAAAGAAATTTCAGAAAGTGTTGTCTGTTTTTATTTTTATGGATTTATGATTTTATACAAATTTATTATGAAAAACAGTGATAAAGGCATAAAACAATGTTTTAAACTTTAATGGCATGATAATATAAAAATGTATTTAATTTTTTTGGTGACAGTTGTGCTGTAGAATAGAGGTTTACTGTTACAATTAAAACACTGAAGAAAAATTGTGCAATACTCCTTAAATAGTTTAAATTTGATTTTATATTATTATTTCTACTTTGAAGTGTATATTCAACTGCACAACAGTAATATTTCACAATTCACAGTAATGTGTCACAAATTCTTCAAGTTAAACTGAACTTTTATTTTGGCAGGTTGTCATGAAGACTGAGACGTCATAATAAGACACTTGTCCATATAGCGAATTGATTAAGCCCTACTTTTAATTTATTCATTGAAAAATTCTATGTTATACAGTTTACTAGGGCTGGGTTTTGACACAAATTTCACGATTCGATTCGATTCTCATTCACAAGCTTTCGATTCGATTACCAATATATCGCATTACCGAATAGTAAGTTTTAAGTCTACTTAAATTACACTTAATGAAGTTTTATAATAAAAGTTACAATTACATAATATTTCTATTTCAATTCGTTTTTTTATATAAACATTTAAATGGTGGCTGTCATAAAAACTTGATGGATTTATTCAAACATAAATTAAACATCGAAGAACAGTAAAATGTATAATGAATATGTTATATTGTGCATATATTTAACAAAATGCCCCTCTCCACAGTTTATTTTTCTATCTGACTAATGAGTTTATGGTCACCGAATATGTTTTTCTGAGAGGTGTACTCTTTCTTTTAACTTACCTTCTGATGTTTAGTCATGCTTATTTTGTGCTGAAAAATATTTAAAAGTATTAATGTGGAGGAGATGATCAGTTCACGTGCGCTACGCGCTGCTGCGTCTGTTGATCTGAGGCGCTACAGCAATCTGTCACTCCACATTAAACAGCGCCAAAACGGCATTAATTGTTTGAATATTGCAATACAGTGGACAGAATTTGAAATCTGAGACGGTTTCATATTAAAAGTACCAAAGCACAATGCTTATTGCGATATATTGGATGGGAAGCGCCCTTCAATGTTCCGTCCATTAACTGAAAACAGGCTAGAATAATCGATTCTTGGGATTTACCTTCGGATGTTTAGTCATGTTTATTTTGTGCTGAAGCTGGTATTAATGTGGAGGAGATGATCAGTTCACGTCTGTTGATCTGAGGCGCTACAGCAATCTGTCACTCCACATTAAACAGCGCCAAAACGGCATTAATTGTTTGAATATTGCAATACAGTGGACAGAATTTGAAATCTGAGACGGTTTCATATTAAAAGTACCAAAGCACAATGCTTATTGCGATATATTGGATGGGAAGCGCCCTTCAATGTTCCGTCCATTAACTGAAAACAGGCTAGAATAATCTATTCTTGGGATTTAAGAATCGATATCGTTCCGTAAAAAAGACATTCGATTAATATCGAGATATCAATATTTTTTACCCAGCCCTACAGTTCACCACTAGCAGGAAAATATGGCATCACGGTCTAATGCTTCGGTTTTATATTAATACAAAATTATATATTATATATAATTATATACACACTTGAAGTGGATCAAAACCTTTCATCAAAGTTGTCCAAAACAATACCCGTTCTTGTCTTAGGACAACTCTGATGATCTTTTTTGATCCACTTCAAATGTTGATTACTGTATAATGCTGCACGATAAATCGAAATGAAATCGCAACCGCGATTAGGCAGAAGCTGCAATTGTCGTGTATCTTTAAGTGAAGCAAGGTTCTGTGATCAATAGTAGATCTCGGTGACACTGCAAAATAAAACAGCCTTCCTTCCAGTGTTAATTTTGACAGCAAATTTTGATTTAGTCATTTTAGTCATCTGAATTGTTTTTAGTTTTAGTCGACTAAATCTACAGTAAATTTAGTCGACTAATTCTGAATTAATCTCATTCCTTCCTAAAATTTTCGTCTCGTTTTTATTCGTTGATGAAAATGTCAATAGATTTCAAAAATCATTCAAAAAGAGTTTTAGTTCGTTATCGTCTCGTTGTCGTCAGTGGAAAAAATGTCGTTGACGAAAATTATGACGTAAAGTATTCGTCAACGAAATTAACACTGCATCCTTCTGAATGAAAGTTTGATTTAGTTAAACTGTAAATGGTTAAAATACACCCGAACATATTCGGTTTTGGGAGATTCAACCAAAAACCTCTTGATTTCAATAAAAAAAGAATGCAATTTCTGGATGTCTCTAACGGAGAGAGACTCCATTTGGGTGAGACGGTGCAGTTAGCGGGGGGGGGGG